AGGCAAGAAACTGGAGGAGGGGAGGGGGACTATGAGAGGGGTGGAGGGGTGGGGGAAATTTAAATGGGGGAAAAAAGGGGGAAGGGGAAGAGGAAGAAGAGAAAAAGAGGGGGGAAAATACATGAGGGGAGACACAAAGCATACCACACACAAAGTGGAGGAAAGGAAGGGAGAGAAGAGGGCGATAGAGAGGTGAAGAGGGGAAGGGGGAGGGGGGAGGGAGGAGGGGCAAAAAGGACATAATGGAGGGAGGAAGGGGACAGAAAGCTCTGCCACACAAGGACGAGAAATTAGACAAATGTAACTGCAGGGGATATGATAAAAGGGAATGCACACAAATGCAGAAACCACAACGAGACAAGGAACCCCAGATCAAACGTGAGACAGGAGGAAAACGAATAGTAGAAACGGGTGTAGAAGCATCCATCTACAAGGGTTTAATGTACATGCATCTGTTCTGAATGTAATTAGCATTACAATGCTGTTACACACACTGATTCAATAACGTAGTGGTCCCATACCACTACCCCCCCCCTTCGGTAGGACCAACATCGCAATACCCCGAATGATGGACATACTCACACCCCCTTGCACAATAAAGCCAATTGCAGACGTGTTTCCAGACCAAAGGCACACCTTCCTACACACTATAGCAAGGGAACAACTACAGCAATATGCACGTTCGATCCCCCAACGACCGAGCCTTACACGGGATTGTACAGCAGGGCCGGACTGGGAAAAAAATTAGGCCCGGGCATTTTTCAATTAGAGCAGCCCCCCAAGAAGGGGGCGGGGCCAGAGAGGGTGTGTTTTGTCATCACTAATGACAAGTACACCCCTTCTGAAAGTGAGCATGTTGGTTCAATGCACAGAGCCCCGCTGAAGAGCTCTGGCATTAGAAAAAGGCCCTGTATTTGTTCTGCGCAGCGCAAGCAAATGTAATAACATGCTTGCACTGTGTTTGCTTTTAAATTGTCTCTAGTGTCTCCACAAGTGGGATACCAGAGGACAAAAGGGCCAGGAAAGTGTATGGTGCATGTGTTTGGCGCATGCTTGTGGGATTGCCTGTGTGTGTAGAGTGTGGTGTGGTATTGTGTAAATAGGTCAATTTTGTGGTGTAATGTGTGTGTCTAGGGGCTGTAGAGAGTGCATGTATAGGGGCATAATGTTATAGGGGATGTAGCGAGTGTGTACATGCGGGCAGTAGTGTGTGTGTATAGGTGACGTAGTGTGTGTATGGGTTGTAGAGAGGGTGTGTTTAGAGAATGTTGTATGTGTTTGCTTACAAGGAATGTAGTGTGTGTGTAGGTGGTGCAGTGTGTGTGTAAGAGATCTAGTGTGTAAAGGACCCAGAGTGTGTATAGAAGATTGTGTGTGTGTATGTGTAGAGGATTAAGAGTACATATAGGGTAAGGGATCTAGCGTGTATCTGGAGCATAATGTGTGTAGTGGTGCAGTGTGAGGGGTGCTGTAGTGTGTGTGTATATATATTTAGAATATATTTGGACATATTGTATGTGTGAGGTGCGCAGTGTGTTTGTGTAAGAGGGGTGCTGTGTGTGAGGGTGTTTTTATCTGCCGTCACATTCTAGGTTTCTAATTTTCTTTGTCTGTTAACTCACTGAGGGTTATTTTATATAATATATATATATACATATATATACATATATATATTATATATATATATGTGTGTGTGCTCTGTATATGTGTGGGAGTGAGGGTGCTGTCTGCGTCTGGGGGTGCTGTGTGTGTCTGGGGGTGCTGTGTGTGTGTCTGGGTGCTGTGTGTGTGTCTGTGGGTGCTGTGTGTGTCTGGGGTTGCTGTGTGTGTCTGTGTCTGGGTGCTGTGTGTGTCTGGGGGTGCAGTGTGTCTCTGGGGGTGCTGTGTCTGGGTGCTGTGTGTGTTGCTGTGTGTCTGTGGGTGCTGTGTGTGTGTCTGTGGGTGCTGTGTGTGTGTCTGGGTGCTGTGTGTGTCTGTGGGTGCTGTGTGTGTGTGTGGGTGCTGTGTGTGTCTGTGGGTGCTGTGTGTGTCTGGGTGCTGTGTGTGTGTCTGTGGGTGCTGTGTGTGTGTGTCCGTGGGTGCTGTGTGTGTCTCTGTGGGTGCCGGGTGTGTGTCTCTGTGGGTGCTGTGTATGTGTCTGCGCTGTGTGTGTGTGTCTGGGGTGCTGTGTGTGTGTCTGGGATGTGTGTGTGTTCGGGGCTGTGCTTGTCTGGGTGCTGTGTGTGTGTCTGTGGGTGCTGTGTGTGTCTGTGGGTGCTGTGTGTGTCTGGGTGCTGTGTGTGTGTCCGTGGGTGCTGTGTGTGTGTGTCTGTGGGTGCTGTGTGTGTGTCTGTGGGCTGTGTGTGTGTCTGGGGGCTGTGTGTGTCTGGGGCTGTGTGTGTCTGTGGGTGCTGTGTGTGTGTCTGGGGTGCTGTGTGTGTGTGTCTGGGGCTGTGTGCGTGTCTGGGGGCTGTGTGTCTGGGGCTGCTGTGTGTGTCTGTGGGTGCTGTGTGTGTGTCTGGGGCTGTGTGTGTCCGGGGTGCTGTGTCCGTGCCGTGCGTGCGTGTGTGTCTGTGGGTGCTGTGTGTGTCTGGGGGCTGTTAGGGAATTTATTTTAAATAACTTTTTTTTAAATTATTAATAAAAAAAAATGTCCCCCCCCCCCTTCCCTTCTTACCTTTATCCTGGGAGGGGGGAGGAGGAGATCCGTTCTGCCTGGGGGTGGGAGGAGATCCGTTCTGCCTGGGGGTGGGAGGAGATCCGTTCTGTCATGCTTCCCTGGTGGTCCAGTGGTGAGAGTGAACTCTAACCTGCGGGTTAGAGTTCACTCTCGCGAGATCTGAGCGTTGCCGTGGTAACCGCGGCAACGCTCAGGATCCCGCGAGAGGACCCGGCGGAGCTGCTTGTTAGAGCTCCGCCGGTCCTCTCTCCTCCCTCCCCAGCCTGCTGGCGGCCGCATCTCCCTGTCTGTGGGCCGGTGAGGGAGATCTTTGATCTCCCCACCGGCCCATGGAGGCACACAGCGGGGCCGGCACTCGGATAGTGCTGGCCCTGCAGGGGCCGGCCAGGGAGATCCTGTGATCTCCCTGCCGGCCTCGGCCCCACGGCCATCGCGGCCCACCGGGCATTTGCCCGGTATGCCCGATGGCCAGTCCGGGCCTGTTGTACAGAGTTTGAGTCCCTGTGCCTGTCAGATGCAAACCCCCCCCAGAGCGATATCCCAGATATAAACCTTATTGATAAGTGGACGATACCTTCTTGCACCACCGTGCATCAGGCGTTGGGAAGAAGACCTGGATGTAACACTCACGGACGCAGACTGGGATAAAATCTTTACACTCACCCAGAAAACCCCAGGATCAGCGAGGCTCCAAGAAAATTCATATGAAGTATTTACGAGATGGTACATCACCCCAGCGAACCTACATGCTAGGGACAGTTTGAAACCAAACACGTGCTGGCGATGCGGAATGGAGACTGGGTCATTTCTCCACCTATGGTGGGACTGCTCCTTCATCCGGCCGTTTTGGGAAATGGTGGGTCGAGTGATCAACGAAACTACAGACGAAAACGTCCCGATGACACGAGCACCTTTTCTACTACACCATACAACAATACCCGTGCCAGCATATAAACGATCAGTGATACGGAGACTCCTCAATGCAGCAAAAGCAACAGTCACAATCTTCTGGAGGCAACCATGCACCCCCTCACTCAGGCATTGGGTGAAGGAGGTGGAAGACACCTGGAAATTCGAGGACCTGAAGGCAACGGCAGCGAAGGCAAAAGA